ATACATTCACGTGATTTATAAAGGGAGGTGTTGTCAACACATATATGGTTCATTGGAGGCGTTTCCAAATGCAAATGAGCATGAACGTGAACGAGCATGTTACTTACGCGCATGTGGGATTTATCAACAATGATTGCTTACTCATGCGTAAGAACTGCGTGCGTACGTTTGATAAATACGCATTTTCTTGTACTTAGGCACATTCTAAATTTCATTCGTAGGATAAAATATAGAACCTTTTCTACACACTGTTGATAAATGAGGGCCCAGGAAACCAAGACATGAGCTTACACAGGGAAACAACGACTGACCCTGAATCAGGCAAACACAGGGTTATATATGCACAGGGTAACATGAGGGTGGAGCTAATGAATTTATATGACAACAAATGAAGGAAAAGTTATGGCAACACACAAGATAGCACAGGGAACTGAAACAGGAAGAAAGCAAAGAACAATAGGAATACAATGCAAAATAAGAGTCCTTAAACACAGAGACCAAGACAAGGAACACAGACAGGGATCATGACATACTGTAGTCCCCCCTCAAAGGAGTGGCTTCCAGACGTTCCAAAACGACAAGTCCAGGAGGGAGGTGGAGTCGAGGTGGAGGAGGTGCCAGGGTGGAGCTGGTGACCAGGGCAGAGCGAGAGACCAAGACAGAGCAGCAGGCCAGGGTAGAGCCGGAGGAGCTGGTGACCAAGGCGAAGCTGGAGACCAGGGGTAGCATGCGGAGCAGGGAGCCAGGGTGGAGATGATGGGACCAAAGGCCCCCACAGTGGAGCAGAAGACCATCAGTGCAGACGGGACCGAAGACCCTCACGGTGGAGCAGAAGACCACCACAGCTGAGTGGACAGGACCGAAGACCTTTAGACGACCACCAGGGTGGAGCTGATGGAACTGGGGACAACCAAGGCTGAGCTGATAGAACTGAGGACCACCAAAGTGGAGTAGACAAAACTGAAGCACCCTTCAGCAGAGCAGACAGAGCAGAGGACCACCATGGCAGAGCTGAAAACCACCACAGTGGATCAGCCATGACAGGGCAGAATGAGAGTTCAGAGACAGCCTCTTTGGCCATGGCAGGACTGACAGAGTGTTCAGAGACAGGTGTGGCTTCCTCAGGAGAATCTGGAGTGGACACTGCCAATTCGGGATGTAAGGGAAACAGGTCAATTTAGCTCAAAGGGAATCATTTATGATTTTATAGGGAATTTGGACAGAATCACTGTTTTACGGCTGATCACTGAGTCGGCCAGCGATTCATTGAACGAGCCGTATAACATAAATTCTGCATAGTTCCTCGATGAGGTTAAAATGTATATTAACTGCACCAGTTCAGCTAGAATCTGGAGGTACTTGCCTTGCCTGTGTACAAAACTTAAAGGTGCCATAGAATGCATTGATACAATATTTTAAATTGTTCTCTGATGTCCCCCGAATGTGTATGTGAAGTTTTATCTCAAAATACCCTCAGATAATTTTTTATAGCTTGTTGAAATTGCAACTTTTAGGGTATGAGCCAAAACGCACTGTTTTTTTGTGTTTGTCCCCTTTAAATGCAAATGAGCTGGTGCTCCCGTCTCCCTTTTCAGAAGAGTGCGGAGCTTCAAGAGCTCATGCTCGCTGTGAGGCAGTCCGGCATAAAATGTTAGCACAAACGTATAGGACTTTTCCGTTTTTTTCGGGACATTTCCTTCGAATATGAAATTTAACCACCGTGTCCTCAGAAGTCTATGGAGACTCCTATGTTCGTTGGTGCATCTCAACACACGGTTTAATGGCTCTTTGGCGCTGACATTGCACCTCCAGCAGCAACAGCAAGAAAACAGTAATGGCGGACTGCTGCTTCTTACTCAGGGCTGTGTATATGCTAATAGGGCAGAGAGCATCACAAATGGGTGGGACTTTCCCCGAGTATGACGTCATAGTAGTGAGAAATCTGGAACTGCTAGTGTGGAGAGACTGTTTATGATTTATTGGGATTATAAAACAATGAGTGGGTGGATTTTTACCATTATAGGCTGGTTGTTTTCACACACTGCGGCCACACAACTGTGTTCAAGCACCTTATAAAAGTGATTTTTGCATTCTATGGCACCTTTAACTCAGAACACAAAACTCTCAACGGAAAAGAAAACAAATTAAAGAAGAAGAATAGAAGTAACGAGACTAGATGGTTTTCTTCCCATCGTGGCTAAGTAGCAGCGGGCGTGCAGGCCGAAGCACGCTGGAACGGCGCTCGACAAATTCACGGGCAAAATCAGTGGCAAAAAGCATGGCTAAAAGCGATGACTAAAAGCATAGCTAAAAGCTATGACTAAAACCATAATTTGATGGTGTCCTGAGTATTTAAACCAGGCTGTTGGACACATCCCAAATGGTGTCTTGACCAATTAGATAATGTCTTTGCTTGGGGTGTTGTATGTTTCTCCTCCCAATACATAAATCACACGTTATCTTATCAGTCACATGGTCTGAATTTTCCCACTCTTGCAGAGTACAATTTGGACATGATTTCTATAACCAGAATATAATATATTTT